ATGTCAGTAATCTTATTAGAATCTTATGCATTGTTGCAGAATATTCACACCAGGGAAACTATTCGGTATTTACACATGTGGGACTTATTTATTTCACTTAGGAGTATATCTTCAATATGTATCCATTTTCCTATGAATGAATCTATTCTCTCGCTCTTTATGGCTGAGTAATATTCCATTTTATAGAAAAACCACAACTTCTTTATCCAGTTTCCAACGGATGGGCAAATAGGTTGTTTCCAAGATTTAGCTATTACAAACTGTGCCGCTATAAACATGGGTGCACATACTTCTCTGTGATATGATTCTTTCAGTTCTCTTGGAAAGATACCCAACAGAGGGATGGCTGGGTCGAGGACCAGCTGGCTTGTAAATGCTCTGCTCCTGCCTCGGAATGTTTCTGCTGTTCTTTCTGCTGTAGATCTCCTTCTCATGAACATTTGCTCGATACCAAACACCTTTGACACCAGTATGTCTTATTAGCTGGACTGCTGAGTGCATTTCTCTGTGGGATGCACAATTCACAGAAAACAATAGTCAGTTAACTTCACCGGCACTGCCTGACAGATATTTACGTCTGAAAGGTACAAAATGAAATAGAAAGAACTGAGTGAATGAAACGAGTAAAACAAACACAGGAGACCCGAATACCTCTAGGGGCCATTTGTTTCATGGTCATGGATCTTAAAACATTTCATTGAGTCTGAAGAAAGGGAAGGCAAGTGCATCCAGGGTAGAGGAACCCACATGGAGCAGGGTAGAGAGTCATGGGATGGTACAACACGGACGGAAACTCACAGTACTTGGACGTGCTTGGCATTTTAACCATGGCAAGAGATTAAAGTAAGCAGTATATATTTTTCATTGATAATAGGGTTTGACTTAAGCTAATGCCTACACAAAAAGAAGTGTGCATAATGGTTTTCCAGGGGAAGAGATGAGATCTTTTTATTCTGGGATTGGGTGACATTTTCCTTCTCCTTAATTAATCTGATTGCCTTCCTTTTCCTCTGTTTAAAATATTGCATGGCAGTCTTTTCTCTAGTGATGTAGTGAGAACTTATGTATACTGTCTGGAGCTAAATATTGCCACATGATCATAATTGAGCGTGCTGTCTGTATCTGAAGATATTTTAAAGAGAAACAAGTTAAGTGCCTATCAGGATTTCATAGAAAAATTTAGACTGCAGGTGCATCTCTATCACACCTTCCCTTGGCTTAAAGGCCCTTTCTTTCTTTCTCCCACACGCTCCACAGCTAGGTGATGTTATGGTTGACATTGCGAGTAACATCATGTTGGCTGACGAGCGTGTTCTCTGGCTGGCACAGAGGGAGGCCAAAGCCTGCAGCAGAATTGTGCAGTGTCTGCAGTGCATCGCGATATACCGGCTGGCCAGTGGGACTCATGTGTATTCAACAGTAAGTGTAGCCCTGTCGTGGAGCTCTGAGACAAATGCCCATTGCTGGCAACTCAAATCCCCCAACATAGGTGTCTTCCCTATTACAGGGTAGATATTTTTTGTTACTGAAGTGCAGAATTTCCTTTTCTAAGACACTTTAATTTTGTTGTGAGTAATAATCTGTTCTTCTGGTAACAGAAATTACTTTCTAAGTCCGTAATTTGAATAGTTGTCATCATTTAACCCACTGAAACTTTCTGCAACAAGAATAAGAGCACTATTATGTTACCTACTGCTGTTTACACATAGTTGAGCAGAGGTAAAATTCTGTCCTGGGCCTTGAAGGATATTTTGAGAGAATGCTTGATTGCTCTACTCAGATTTTAATCTCCAAAGAGAACTGGGATGTGCTCCAACACTTGCGAAACTATTGGCATAATAATTACTCCATTAAATTGTATTACACTTTATTTATGCCAAATTGAACTGTTCTAAACTTCGTATATTGCTTACTTTGTTCCACAAATGTGAAAATACAGTAAATATGTGTGTTCCCATAGCAGTCATACTCTGATCCACGTTTTTCATTTCCTAATTATTTTAATGGGTTCATGTAGTGTTGAATATTATGCAGTTCCACCTGTGGTTTTGTCAATGCAGGGCTATCCTTTTTCCATTGATTTCTGAGGCTCTTTTTTTAATGATACCATGTTTTATTGTAACTGTTGCCTAATTAAGTTTAGGATGACTTTCCTGAATAATAAATAAAATAGAGGCCCAACATGGCTACGTTTTTATAATGTTGTTCAGGGTACTTCCTGCTCAGGTGCATGACCTTACCTAAGACCTGCTTATTATTTTATATCTTCCCCAGGCATTTATAGAGAACTAATTTGAATCCCATCCTTTACCCTTACTTATTACTCACCTGGACGACCTTAGTTCCTGCCTTTAATCCTCAGTGGTTTCTTTAAATTTCAATTCAACATACAGAACAGATTCCAGGAGTTATGTGAATGCTTCTTTAGCAGTTTGCTTTATCCTTGGGGAAAGTGCTCTACATCCCAGTGGATACCTGAAACCATAGATATAGCATCAAACTCTATAAACAAATACAACTTAGTAAAACTTTATAGTGTGTAATCTTGTAAGGCAAAAGTTCATATGAACATGGTCTACTCTTGAAAAGTTCAGGAGCCACTAATTATTTTCTGTCCTATGTATATAGTACTTGCCAAATTCTGCTTTACATCTCATATTTTTAAATTGTATCTTGTCTTCCTAGTAGAATTTTAAGCATCTTGCTCCAAGTTCCATGCTAAAAAAATTTTTAAAGGAGATGTTCTGTACATGATACTTGGAATGCTGCCCTGTCCATATGGTCAGGATATACTTAATCATCATTTGAAAAACCAAGGCGAGACACCACATTATCCTTAGAATTTACAGTAAATCCTGCCCCCTCAGTTGCTTTGAGGTGAGGTTTGTCAGCTTGTCGCTTCTCACGCCTGCTCTGCTGAGGCCCTGGCGAATGTGAGCATTGCTGGCGTCCCTCCACAGCGAGCCTGGCAGCAGTTGGTGTTGACAGGCCGTACATTTGGGCAAGTCTTCCAAGTTCAGCTTACGCTTACATTTATTTAAAACTCTGGGGCAGATACTATTTTCTTCAGGTGATTTTTTTTTTCTGACCTAATTTACTTAAGTCTATTTTCTATCATTTGAACTAGTGTGTCCCTTTTCCAAAGAAACAGCTGAGAAAAGAGTCAGTAGAAAGCTTTTATCTGTGAAACCAGTGCGGAGTGCTAACTTGATCTTGCTGTAAAGAGAAAAGTGAATGTGGCCTGAAGTGTTGAACTTTCAAGTCTGTTTCTCAGACCCTAATAGTTACCTTTCATTTCTTTATGTAAAGTAGTCATTAAGGAGATTCACTGCTTTTTTTTTTTTTTTTTTAATCTGGCTCATTTTTTTAAAAAGCTTCCATTTTTAACTGGAAGCTTCCTGCAAGGTAGCTTTTCAATTTTTTTTTTTTTTTTTTTTTTTTTTTTCTGCAGTGCTGTGCTGAAACCCAAGGCACTCTAAGCAAGTATACTACTACCGAGCTGTATAACTGACCCTGAAAATAATTTCAGTTGACTTTTAATTTATACCTGTCTTTCCATACTTTAGGACTTGTTCTTTTTCTCATCATCAATCTTCTTTCCATGCTAGGATAATTTTTTTCATTCAAGGTTCTTGTTTTGTTTTTTATTCTGTTCAGTACCTACACCATTTTTATTTAATATGAACTTGGGCTTTCTGCTTTGGCTTGTATGTGCAGGGTTTTGTGTTTGAGAAGTCTTTGACAGTGTCTTCCCTGCAGATTAAACATCTTTCCTAACTCTTGTTTGGTTGACTTTTGAAGTATTCACCCAACATTGCTCTGGAAGCTTATGTCATCAAGGCTGCTGGCTTCACGGGGATGACCTGCACCGTGTTCCAGAAAGTGGCTGCCTCTGACCGCACAGCTCTGTCTGATTATGGGAGGCGGGATCCAGAGGGAAACCTGGACAAGCAGCTGAGCTTTAAGTGCAATGTTTCCAGCACATTTTCAAGCCTGGCACTAAAGGTATTTAATATCCCTTAGTATTTAATATCACTTAAGCCTATTTGCAGTTAGATTGTTTGAAGCCTTTTGGTTTGCAAAATAACCTTATTAAAAGTTGTTTTTCAGGGCTGGGGTGTGGTGAGAGGTGTGGAGATGTTGTGCTATTGTATTAAAGAAGATTTAGCCTAAGACCCTCTTATTGACTTCTATGGCATTTTTGCCTTGAGTTCCTATTTGTCCACCCAAAAAAATCAAAACTAACATTTTATGTTTGCATTGATACAAAAAAAAACTGTTTCTTTGAACTCCACCTTTTTTCTCTTGACTTTAAGATATTTTCCTTGCCCCCAGAAATCTTGTGGGCTCTTCGCTCACTGTACCTAATGGACAAGCCAGCCCCGAGGCTTGACATTTAATCAGGCAAACGGAGTATCAGGATTTTTTTTTGGCAAAGAAGTGGAAATATGTGGCATACATTTTTAAAAATGCATGTTTTATTGTAGAAAGCCAAAGGAAAGCATTCTCATTGATTTTTATAATTGGGGATATAGATGTGTTTCACTAAGCCACATCGAAGAAAATGGTTGGAGGCAGAAGTCCAGCACCATAATGAAGCCACATTTTTTCATTTAGCTCTGTGTGGGACGTGCTGTTGTGTTCTCTGTGGTTTTTAATTACACGGAACTTTTTAGTGTGTCCCCGAATGGCTTTCCAAACAGTATTCTAGCCGTTTTAATGGTTGCATAATAATTGCTCAAATGGATATTAAATGTTCTTTATGCCATAGATACCCAATAAGTATCCAGTAGGTAAATGAATAATTAATGTATCTAGTCATACTTTACCCTGCTAACCTCCAAGAAAAGCTAATTTGCCAAATTTAGAAATATTGCAACTGCCTGATATAATCTCAAGTAGATCAGAATGTCTGATGGCATTATAGTTTCTTGATGTCATATACTCAAAGGAAAATCGGCAAGATTTGCGTTAGCCTTGGTCCTGTGAGAGTGCTTGATACACCCAACTGTGCAACTGTAGACCCATTCAGCGCTCTCTCTCTCTCTTTCTCTCTCTTTCTTTCTTTCTGGTACCGGGATCAAACTCTGGCCCTTGTTCTTGTGAGGCAGGCAGCGGAACCACTGATCCAAACCCCTGGCCCTCAGCTTTCTTTACTGTATCTTTTATTGGTAAAAATATACCCTGAAAAGCATAAAAATAGCCACACGCACGCCCATGAGAGATTAAAAATGATGACATCTTACACATTTCATCAATTTCACCTCCTTCCCCTCTGTGTAAGGAGTTTCTACTTGCTAAAGTAGAAAGCTTTAAATGAGCACTCAGATTTGCTAATTTCATGCTATTCTATCCTGTTAAGATCATCCTATGGCCAGAGAGCAAGAACCCATTACATTATTATTCATGCTTCACAGATAGACATGATTAACCTGAATGAAAAAAGGACATATCTTCTGTGACACAAAATTACTTTAAAAAATTTTAACACCAACACTGTAAAATGTACTTAAGCATTAGCACTTTAACCAAGGACTTGCTTCCCATTTTAAACTTTATGCTAGGGTAACTTTTACATATTGCATATTTTTTTAAAAAAATCCATTGAATATGCTGTTACCAAGTACCAGTGAGATAATCAACTTGAACATCCAATAGTCAATTACATTACCCTCGAATGTGAGTGCAGCATTTTTATTTAGCAGTAGGTGTTGCGCTTGATTTGTTTCCTTCATATTTTTGCAATCTTGGTACTTTTCACACTATCACCATTGCCTGGTTTGGACTCCCACGCTACATGCATGCATTTTGACTTACAGTGGTTTAACATCTTGATAAACCCATTATAAATTGAAAATATCTTAAGTCAAAAATGCATTGGACATATGGTAGCTGACCTACCAAACATTGTCAGCACGGAATACCATCGAGTCTTGGTTGTTTAATGTTGGGATCTCACAGCTGACTGGAAGCTGAGGCTGGCTGCTGCTACCCAGTGTTATGAGAGGATAGAATGTCATACCATGTATGTCCAGACCAGGAAAAAGTCAAAAGTCAAAGCATAGTTGCCACTGAATATTTTTCTCTGTCAGAAAAATCGTAAGTTGAACTAGCCTAAGACAGGGACTGCATGTGTTGTCCAGACCACTGTCAATTTCGATTTCATCTCTGAGTCTTTGATGTGTCTTTGTATGTAGGTTGGCCTGCCTTAGGTACCTGGTAATCGGCCAGCATGCACCAGTGCAGCACTGCCAGTTAGTAAAGTAGTGAAATATTTGTTTACCATTCAGCAAATAGCTGCTCTCCTGCTCATGAATAGCTCCCCAGCCCTGTGCATCCTTCCTTTGGGAGCACCATCCAGATCTTTCCACAGCTGAAGCCATTTCAGTTTTCCAGAGCAACCATTGTCTTCATGCTTCCTGATTCCTGCCCTTTATGTGTGCTTTCAGTCCATCCCTGCTTAGTGTAATCCCTGCTATTCTTCCTTTACAACTCCATGCACAGAGCATTTTCCCTGTCTTCCTTCTTCAGACAGAATTAATCATCGTCTGTTAATCCCATGGTGCTTTGTTCATTCTCCAGCATAGTTACTAGACGATGCAGTGGTGAGTTGATTCATAGTGAGGTCATCTGATGTGGTGACTAAGAATGTGGGCCCCCTGGCAGTCTGGGTTCATGTTTCCCTCCCCAGCTAACAGCTGTGCCAATTTGGGCAAGTATCTTAACCTTTTTTGATGTTGTTTCCTTGTCTGTTACGTGGAGGATCATGAATAGTACTTAAAGTCTTATTGAACAGATTACATGAGGTATGCATATAGACTTTCAAAACAGTACTTGGCACACAAGCCCACCATAAATGTTTTGTAGTTGTTCTTGTCATCTCTCTCTTTTTACATTGTGAATGTTTGAAGTCCAGGAACATAGCTTCTTTTTCTCTGTCTTCAAGTCTAGCATAGCACCAAGCACAGAGAAACATCCAGTAACTGTTCTTAAATAGAATTAGCAGTCATGCTTTACAATGAAAATCAGCTCAATAATTTTAAAGGCAAATATGATCCTTTCTAGTAGGTAGCCATGAGATAATCAAAAGGTGGAATATAGTTAGTAACTAATAATTGAGGAAATTATTAGAATATATCATAACTCCTTGTAAAATCCAGTAAGTGGTTAAGAAAACAAATTAGTATTTTATTTTGAATCTGATGATTTTTGACGCATTCTGAATTTACTGTTAGAATTTTGTAGATTTTTTAAAAATTGAGCTTTCTGAAAATTTTAATGTATTAATTACATAGTGGATAGAGCCCAGCTCTTTCTTAAGGAAAGATATTAAAGTTGAGGTAAAATACTTCTGTGTTTCAGTTAACATCCATTATACACTTTCTTTTTAGCTTAATGTTGTTATAGTGAACTGTACATGAATTTAGCAACTAGCATTCATTGCATATGTGTTCAGACTTCATCAGTCTTTATTATTGAAATTTAACAGTGTAGGCATCAAAGCATCATGAGATTTAGCTTATTTTTGGCAAGTCAGTTATTTCCAGGGATTTCTTCTCTCCCCAGCACCCAAAGGGAACCCTCTTCCATGTTGCCATAGTAAAGATAATAAAAATATCACCCACCACTTCATAGCCATAATGTCATTTGGTCTTCACTGTCCTCTGTTAGAAAGATCGTTAGATGTGCTGATCAGGTGAGACTCAGATCTGTCCAACAAAATCGAGTAGTGTTGATTAACTCCTAAGTGGTGAGCCAAGGCCATGAATCTTACTTTCTTATTTCATATCTTAGAAATGAAGAACATGTATTTCCCAAAAAATCTTAGCAGATAACTTTCCAACTTACTAGCTATAATTAGTGTGTTTACATCTCTCATTGCTACAAGCCATACATTTTAAAATAAATATATGGTTAAATGAAATTAAAAATTTTATATGCCCTGCCTTTCAGCCAAGAGATAGAAGGTGTAATTATGATAAATGTAACAAATAAATGTTCTTCAGTTTTTTATTAGATTTACAACCTTTTCATAAGTAATGGTTAATACTTCTTTTCAAGAAATTAAACATAAAAGCTTTATACTGTATTTTTGCTATAAAAATCTAAACATTTTTGATATAGTGAAGTTTGCCTTTCCAAAACACCCAGGGAACCCTCTCTTCATCTCAAAGAATCTGTAATTATTTAGTAGTATTCTATATGGGACCTGAGAAGATACTTAGAAGCCACGAGTTTGTTGTGCTGGCCTGTCAGTGATGTGCAGTTTGTTTATTTTTGTTTTTTTTCATTGTTTTGCAAGTTTACACTTGTTTAGAAGATTTTTGACTTCTAAAAAGTACAAATGTTTCCTTCTTTTAGCTTTTAGAAGATGTTACCTATGAATTTTTAAAAGGTAATTTGATTTTTTTTTTTTTTTTTTTTTTTTTTTTTTTTGGTACCGGGGATTGAACTCAGGTCCTTGCGCTTGCAAGGTAGGCCACTGAACCGCTGAGCTAAATCCCCGGCCCGGTAATTTGATTTTTTAACTATAAGTACTTTCCTGGAGTGCTTTTTTGTGTTCTGAATAAAATTATTTTATGAATTTAATAGTATGTATGTTTTAATTAATTTTGGAACATTTTATCAAGATTTTGAACTTTTAACAGTCATATCAATTTTTTTTTGGTCTCTCTGTATTTTATGTTTTCTCTTCTTTGTGTCTTCTTTGCCTCATTTTATGCTTGAGAAATTTATATATTATACAGAAATTTACTATATTAGCAAATGACTTTATAATAAACTTTGTACATCAGGCTATATTTGTGACAATAGCGGAAACCTTTTAATGCTTGTTGTCAGACAAAATGTTTCTACCAAATATTTTCTTGCAAGTTTTAATGTAAAATTTAAACTTCTGAGATAGCATTCATTCAACAGATACAGGTATCTGCTGTGTCCTCATATTGTTGTAAGCATGACGGTTACATAATTCTAAAATGAGTTAATTGCTTCAGTGGAATTTTGTATTTGAAAATAAACATGCTATGGAAACTTTCTTTGTTAGTTTCATAAACAGTGAATTGTTTTTATGAAGTGCATATGGCAGGTATGTAGGGGTCTAGAACATGAATGGGATTTGTCTGCATTCAGAAGTCCCCCAGTCTGGTTGGAGGAGCAGGGAGTGAGTTCCATGTTGAGTCTTAAAGTTGCTTGTAATGCAGATTTATACAGATCCCTCTGTGAGTCCAGAAGAGGGAGCAGCCAGCAAGCGTACAAGCAAACTACTGTGAAGACAGGATTCCTCATCCCAATAAGCCCTATGTTAGAGACTCTGGGAAGAGTCTCCTGCTAGCCTCTCTCATTCTGACCTGTTGCCAGCAGAACTGTCTTGCTCAAAATCAAATCGGATGAGTTGAAGAGTTTGTCAGGCTGACGACCAGCAGAGCACTTCAGTCAGGGTTGCCGACCTGTGCAGCTTGTGGGGCAGCAGGAGGAGGGCAGCGAACTCAGAGAAGCCCAGGTGGCTGTGGGAGCGGAGGGGTAGGAGATGCATTTGAGCAGTAGGTTTCAGCCAAGTTGTATGATAGGCACAGAATTCGGAGGCAGTGATCCTCAGTACAGAACCAAGGTGTTATTTAAACTGGAATAATAAGATGGCCTTTGGTTCTCCAGAGGAAATTCTGGTGGCAGCAGGAACATTGGTTTCAAGGGGGAAGGAGTTGGTGTCCAAGAGAAAGACTTTGTAACAAATTCCTAAAATAGAGAATCTTTTTAAAATTAAGATAGTTAATATTTAGCTTACTTGGTATATAGCCTTTTAAAACTGAATGCTAAATTTAAAATCTCCAGTAATGAAATCAGAAAAATATTGAACGATCAGTAGTTAGTATTTTTAGTTTTTCCTATGTAAGACTGTTCCAGTCGTGTGTTTCTTGGTCTCAAGAAAGTTGATGCTAAATTAAGAGTTTGCTGAATTTAAACTTTTTTTTGTAATGTCATTTTTGTGTTGTTTGACTATTTGAATCCATCAGAAAACAGCTTAAAGCTCTATAACCTTAAATTAACTATACCCGAATTTCTCATATGCTACATTTGGCCTTATTTACTGTGTTTTTGTCATTGTAAAATTTGTGTGAAGAATGATCACTGGGGTCCTTGATCTGTTTAATTCTGTTATACATTATATGGTATCATGGGAAAATTAACTTTTGAAATAATTTTCCTGTTTACTTCTTAAACTCTTTGAAACAAAGTTTTCATTTCTCTGTACTTTACACTTCTTTTGATCTATGCTGGTGGTCTGTAGTTCTTTTGACCTGTGGCACAATAGCAGTAGTCATCAGTTATTATTGAAAGCTCTAAAAGGTACACACCATCACTGATCTGTGTTGTCATATATTGTTTGGATATTTCAATTAACTTATCGATTGTTTTGAATATTCAATTTTGTGTGTGTGTGTGTGTGTGTGTGTATTTCTTTAAAATGTTCTCAATATGTAAGTAAAAAGACATAAGCATCTGATATTCTTCTGGTTTCTTACTACTAATACCATAACCTTTTTTTTCTTTTTTTTTATGTTTGTTTTTAGAATACTGTCATAGAGGCTTCTATTCAGCTTCCCCCTTCCCTTTTCTCACCAAAACAGAAAAGAGAAGTCAGACTAACTGAAGACTCTCTTTATAAGCTGCAACTCATTGCATTCCGCAATGGGAAACTTTTTCCAGCCACTGGAAATTCAACAAACTTGGCTGACGATGGCAAGCGGCGTACAGTGGTTACCCCTGTGATTCTCACCAAGCTAGGTTCGTATGCGGCATATGTTGTCCTGTACTCGCTGGGCAGTGTGGTTTATGGTTCACAGTTCCCGAAAATGCTTATTTTTGTTCCTTCTCGTTTTAATGAGTCACTAGTGAAAGAAGATCTTGCAGAGTACCCATTAGTGTATAAGTTGACATTTAATTCTTTATGAAGTTTGCTTCAGAAATACTGTTATTTCTCATTTTCTCCAGATGGTGTAAATGTAGATACCCACCGCATCCCCATTAATGTGACACTGCGTCGACTTGCACACGGAGCAGATGCCATCGCAGCCCAGTGGGATTTTGATTTGCTGAATGGACAAGGAGGCTGGAAGTCCGATGGGTGCCGTATACTCTACTCAGATGAAAATATCACTACAATTCAGTGCTATTCCCTGAGTAACTATGCAGTTTTAATGGTATGACAGTTGTTAACTTTATGCCTAAATACTAAGTATTCTAACTTTTCCCTTTGCATAATTAAGCTTAAATGAAGATTTCTTTTTTTAAAATTTTTAACAGATACTGCTCTCTTTAACTATGTAAGGGTGGTTTTTGGTGTAATCCTGAATTTTAAAGGGAAATTGAGTTATTACCAAGCGAAATATGTGAGATTGCATTTAGTATAGGAATTTTCAGCAAACTTTGTAAGTCAGTCAGTTCAGCTGACTTTGGCCTTCTTAAAATGTAGAGAGAGTGTGGGTCCAGTTTTGTCAGCTTAGACCCATTCATTTGCCTAAGGATACTCAGTCCACAGGGAAAGACAGTTTTCTTGCTACACACTATGATCATTAGACTCCTTTTGAATTTGGAAATGGTGGTGGTACTTCCACCATTGTGACTGCAAGGGACAGCACTGACACAAGTGTCTTTTCAGTTTTAACAATAATCAGTCTAAGGTTCTTCCTGTTTACCTTTGTTGACTCCTGTAAATCTTTTTGGTAAAGAAACTTGTTATTAATATACAGGAACGGGTCTTTTTAATAATGATGCATTTAAATGAATCTGATTCCTGAGAGATAATTATGAAGTTAGCCATGATAGGTGTTACTTTACATTGTAATTACATGTTACTAACTTCAAGAAGAGTGTATTCGGGCTACAGTGGAAGGAATGAGGAGTCTGAAAGACACTTCTCAGAAATGGTTTGAGGTGATTTTGAGGAAAACGTTTACATTTTTATTTAATTCCAGCTGTGAATCTGGTATCTAGACAATATTATTGCAAAGTACCAAATAGTCTTGAAACAGTATGCAGTATTTTACATTTTGTGCCTTTTTCTTTTCTTGAAAAAAACCAGAAACTATCTTGCAACTAGAAATGGTGTTAAATTGAGTCTAGATTATATAAAGTTACCTCAACTCTTTTTCTGGTTTTCTTTTGCTTTCACCTTTTGTATCTTACTCGGTACGTTGGCCATGCAGACAGAAAATTGAATTGATTCTTTAGTGAGGATTAAAGATTATCTTTTCACTGATGTCCTTCTAAGCATTTTGTACAGCTGCTCACAGTGTTCTCAAGCATGTATACTATTTGTTCAGATTGGTGGTGGGAGGATTCTACGTTAGTTAGACCCAGTTGTTATTTGTTTAAGGTATTCGTCCTTTTGGGCTTAAAGTTACTATTCATCGTTTGTGAATCTCTTCACAAATGGAAGACATCTGATTTCTGTGTTTGGTCTTCACACTTTATAAGTTCACACTTTATTTTTTTGTATTTCATTTACAGTAAAGCATAAAGCATTAATTAAAGTGTTGAGGACATTTTCTCTTTCAGTTTAAAAGTTTTTTCATTCAGGTTTTTAAGTCTGAGACTGATGTTCTAAAGGAGAAACAATAGAAATGTCATTTTGAAATGTATATAATAGCTAATATGAAAAAGTTGATTGAAATAAATGAAACACAAAACACAATGAAAGCATTTTGTAAGCTTCACTGTGATACTGTATCATGTGAAACTTTTATTTTTATTTAATGTAATACCAGTTTTAAGCATCTATTTTTGAACTTAGCTCTCTTCTTCTGAACTATTTAAATTAGTATAATCCTTCTCTAGGAGGAATAAGCTATTCTTTTATCTTTCAGACTTTTAATCTCTTATAAAATATAATACACAATTCCTTAAAGCTAAAATAGAGTAGTAAAATTTTTCTTTCTCTTTATTTTCAAAGAATATTCTTTTATTTTTCTTAGATGTAACCCTGCCACCTAGAGGCAGAATTGAAATGTGTCTGAAATTATTGACAAAGTTAAAATAAAGTTAGTGTATGGAAATTTTAGGGTTGCTAATTAACCATAAAGACAAAATTAATGAATTGTGCATACTCTAAAGTAATTAATGTATAAAAAGAAATGTCTTTTAAAATTGTAAGTTAACATCTTTTTCTTCTGAACTTCTAAAAATAAAAAGTAAAATTATTTGGTTTTAAGTACCATATTAATGCATCATTTTATATAGAAATGTAAATTCCTGTCCGGGAGCGATAGTTCATATATTTTTCCCTATTTGGTCTTAGAGGATTTTGTATTAAAATGAGATAGAGGGCCGGGGATTTAGCTCAGTGGTGCCGCTGCCTGCCTCATAAACGCAAGGACCCAAGTTTGATCCCCGATACCGAAAAGAAAGAGAGAGAAAGTATATATTTGCTCCCAATTCTAGAGAAAATACATGGTTGGTTCAGCATATATTGTGCTGTAACCATAGTTGGAACTAGAGAAAAAAGGTGGAAATTGGGTTTGTTTGAATAGTAGGATCAGAAAGAGTCATTTGGGGCAGGAAGATTCATGGGAGCTTGGATGTGTTTGTAGGATCTGATTAGAAAGTAGGTAGTAAAAGGATTAAGGCTAAACTACATAAAACTTAATGCTTTAACTGGTAGTAGTGGTGAAGATAAAATAAGCTGTATGCTTTGGTTCCCCCTTTGTTACTGTATTCACCTAAAAATAAGAAACTAAAGAGGACTTCTTTTCCTCTGTCCCATGCTTCTAAATTTGTTATGTAAAACTTGCTGAATGAAAGTAAATTTCAGTTTCATTTACTCTATAATTGACCATGAAAGCTACTAATGTTTTTCCTTAAATAGCTCTAAAATAGTACATTCACATGGATCAGAAGTTTTTGCCCATTAAAGTATAGTGAAAACTTGAATCCCCTGATCTCCTATCAGAGTTGTAGGTAACTGTGATTAGTGATGTCAGGCATATCGTTGAAGACATTTTCGTATGTATTGAAAAAATGAATATGAAGGCCTATTGCTTCAATTTTTACACAGAAGTTGTAGGCTGCATAGAATGTTCTAAATCGTACTTTTTCCGTGGAAGAATGTATCTTCACTCTGAGGATGCTGTATCTTAAAGAAGTTGATGTATCGTGGTGGCTAATCTTCATTAAGCACTTACGTGTCAGGCATTCCTCTGACAGCTTTACGTGCAGTAACATGTTTGGCGTCAAAACAACCTCGAGAGGAGTAGTGGCTACTACCACCCCAGGTGACATGTGGAAACAGTTACAGGAGAGGTTAAACTCCGTGACAGCTGTGTCGATCAGCTTTTTGACCCTGTGACAAAATACCTGAGAACCATGTAAAGGAGGAAAGGTTTATTTTGGCTCATGGATTCCTAGCTGGCTTCACTGCCTTTAGGCTCCAGGAGAGGCAGAAGGATGTGGTGGAGGAAAGCTGCTCACCTCATGGCAGCCAGGAGGCAGAGAGGGGATGAGAACACAGGCTCCTGGGACTTCTTTCTTTTTTGTTCCATTTGGGTTTGTAGACTACTAGGCAGTGCCCCCCATGCTTAGGGAGGTCTCCTTCAGTTTACTGTCCCGCATGACACTTGTCTCTGGAAATAGCCACACAGATGTATCCAGAAGTGTGCTTTTCTAATTTTCTAGATGTTTTCAGTCCAATCAAGCTGGTAATCAAGATTAACCATCTCATCAACAAAGTACATGTTGAAATTAAAATTTGAAGCCAGAAGTCTGGTTCTGGAATCTGTGTTCCTAATCACTTTGCTAAATCTCCTTTCTCAAAACCGATATGAATGAGAGCCTCCTTGTTGTCTTTTCTTACCATATTACTTCATGTCCCTACTGTAATTTAATTAGATATTTCTCTCTTCTGTTTCTTTCCAGGAGTTGGCTTGTGTGACATCATTCTGCATGTTCAATGGGATATCTGCAGGATAAATTTCTCCACAATAATCTCTCCTCCTTTTTCATTAAACTGAGGTGCTCAGTTAATGACCCAGATCTTAGATGCATGGATTAATGATATTTTTACCTGTGATACACAGATTTAGCTAACACTAAGGTCAAAGTTTGTACTAGAGCAGTCATGAGCTCCCTTATTTCTTTCTAGTCGGTTGCCATACTGTCTCAGAAGATGTCTTCCCACCTACCCGTGTGATATCACATGTTCTTAAACTTTACATACTCTCTGTTTGGGTTCTTTCTTTTTATATTGATGAGATTTATCTTTGTCTTTACACAAAGCAGCAATTTATAGTTTTCTCTGCTTCATATTAGTGCACTGAACAGATATACTACAATCTGTCCATTTTGTTTTTTAGATACTTGGTTATCGAGAAAAACATGCTCTAAATATTCACATACATGTTTTCAATGGATATACATGCTCTGAAGTAAAATATCTGGATTGTAGACCATGTACTCACTTTCAGTAGTTAGTGCAGATGGTAGACCAGTGGTCTCACTGGCTTACAGTCACACAGTAGTGAGACTTACAGTTGTTCCACGTCCTTGCTGATCCTTAGTCAACCTTAAATGTTCGTGATTTTGTGGTGCTATTGTGATATATCATTGTGGTTTTAGTTTGCACTTCTCTGGTGCCTGAAAATGTTGAGTATCTCTGTATTTTCTTATTGATAGTTTAATGCTCCCTTTTGTGAAGCCCTCAAAAGCTTGGATTTATTTAAAATGGGTTTGTTTTATAGAAGATCTTGATATGTTCACTCCTTGTTGGATATGCACATTGAAGATATCCCTTCCCAGTCTGTCCCTTTGTCCTTTTTCTGTTAATCTTTTTATGAACAGTTTCACATTTTCCTGAAGTCTGGTTTCTCAGTTTGCTTTTTTTTTTTTTTTTTTTTTTTTTTTTTTTTTTTTTTGTTTTTTTTCACCCTCTTATTTTTCAGTTAGTGTTTTTACACCCTCATAAGTACATGAGGGTCTTCTTTCCTTCAGGTAGTCCTAATGTGTTTCAGCATTTAGGTCCACAATTTGACTGATGCCGATTCTGTCTGTAGTTCGAGGTAAGGGGATCGAAACCCTTACTTATTCTACTTTATTCTCAAAAAAGTAGATAATAAAGTAGCACAGAAGTCAATTGTAGTTTTGGTTTGGTTTGGTTTGGGTTTTGATTTATGATTTCAGATCTAAAAATCTTATCCCTATACCCATGTAATTCTTGGTGTTCTGACATAGAATAGTGTCCTCAGATGTTTTCTTTGGAGTGTATCTTGTTCAGATCCTGGCGAATTGAGATAATTACTCATTTTAATTCTTGTTATTGGTTTGATGGTGATGAATTATTTAATACTTTCATTATTCTATATTTAGCAGTCCTTGGGCTTGAATTACCTCTTCTAAGTACCTCTTGCTACTCTGTCAAGTAGAAAGTTCTGGAAACTATTGGGAGCCTTCTTAATGATCATCTACATGACTTTTCCCACACTGCAGGTGCTCCGCTTTTCTCTGTATCAGTGTAGTTAACTTCTGTGGACAGTGTTGTTTTTCACTTCCTGCTTAGTTTTCTCCTAAAGCTCTGTGCCATGAAAAAGTGTGACATATCGTTAGCCACAGCTTGTGGTGGGGTGAGTGCCAGGGTGGGACTCCTGTCTTACTAATTCCTGTCTTGCAAATGTGAACAGTAGTTTTACTTTTTCCTCTTGAAAGTATCTTCTGTGTCATTTTTATACAATGCCGTTAGTCATTGTTTATGTTAACACAGACTGTGTTATTGAAAATAATTTTACTCAGAGTTTGCTTTATCTTTCACTGTTAACCTTCTAACTTGTTTGCTGCCCTGATCATTAACTGTCTCAAGTGTTTTTTTGTTTTTTTGAGACAAGGCTTCACTAAGTCACTAAATTAACTAGGCTGAGCTTGTGATTCTTCTACTTCAGCCTCTCAGAGTGGATTATAGGCATGTGCCATCACACCCACCTCCTTAGATTTTCTTCTGTTGCTTAGTCTTGCCAGCTGCATTGTAGTTTGCTTTTCTTTCTTTTTCTTTTAATTCCTTTTAATCCTGGAAGCCAAGATTTTTGAAAATATTTTTAAATGGTTATGTTTTAAATGATTAGTAAGTACTTGCATAATAGCTCAAATTTGCCTTATGACCCACACAACCTAAAATATTTACTATCTGGCTCTCCATACGTTTCCCTGAATTGTTTTCACAGGGGCTCTCCACATTCAGGCAACTCACAGCTCACCTGTAATGTCAGTGCCCTCTGTGACTTGGACAGAGGGGCTTGCTTGTGCCTTTCTCTAGTTTAATTGTAAGCATTTTGCCTCCTCTTTTAATGCTTGTTTTGTTTCTCATTCTTTGTCCCATGCATTTAGTTTTTGGAAAAAATACTGATTTATTTTAAACTTCAGTGTTTGATACAGTGTATTTTGAGAACTGAATCAATCAGGATGCTGTCTGATGGCTTTATTAGCTAGCATTCTGCTGCCCTTGTTTTGTTGCCATCTGCTACGGACTGTGAAAGGCATCTTTACACACCCTCCTTCCACTCCTTCCTCAAGCCCTGTGAGATGATTGGTGGGGCTCCATTTTTATGGAGAGAAAATGGCCCCACGTTGTACAGCTATACAGTGCAACGTGCTAGTGAACATTTCCTCCAGGAATCTAAAGCACGCAGTGCATGAAAGGAGTCTGGAGGCTAGAGCTTAGCTATTGGAAGTTTATCCTCAAGTATTAATTTTGCACCAGCATGGTAGCTTTTCATAGAAATAAAGGGAAAACGTATCTATTTTTAATAGCATCTCCCTGCTTTTATTGCCTCAACATTTTAAAATTTTTCCTACTAATATTCTAGAATTTTAACAGAATGTGAATCTCTTGAGGCCGTGGGCTATAGACTAATATGGTGGGCACCCTAACTTTATCTTGTATTTTCCTCTTTGTGTACTTAGTTTATATGTCTGTTTCGCAAAGGCTGGAACAGTATTCTGCACCCAATTAAAGTTCGTAGACTAAACAGGTAGACTAGAAGTTGGAGACTTATCATGGTACAGTGGAGCACTCAAGTTGGAGTTCAGTTTCTGGTCTTGTCTCCAGCTTCCCACTAACTGATTTTGTTCAGATTTTTTTGTCATTAGCTGTTTATCTTTTGTTGTGAGCAATTTGGTAAGGTGTTCCATTATGATCTTTTTTGATCTGTAATTTTATACTGTCTACTTTAGAGTCTTCCCTGGGAGAATGTGTTCATTCCCTCTCTACTCAGTTGATGCCTTCTTCCATTTCCTTTCCTGTTGGTCACTTGTTCCCTTTCTTTTTCATTCATCTGTTAATGTTTCAGGTATGTCAAGAGCTTTCTCATTCAAGATACTTCGCTGTGAAATCCTTCCTGCATCCAGCCATCATTTTTTAGCATTAAAAGTTAGTGAAGAATGCCAGGCGTGGTGGCGCAGGCCTGTAATCCCAGCACCCGAGAGGCTGAGGCAGGAGGATCAGTGTGAGTTCGAGACCAGCCTGGGCTGCATAGTGAGTTCCAGGTCAGTCTCAACTACACAGTGAGACCCTTTCTCAAAAAAACAAACAAACAAAAAAGAAGTTAGTGAAGAAAGAGAATGTCCGTAAGGGATCTGGCAAATCTATAGCTTTGACTCCTGCAACCCATTTTCTCACCTGACCACCATGGCCAGGTTGGTGGTGTCTTCCCAGCCTGCCCTGGTGATTTCTAAAGAAGCCAACATTAAGATGTGTGTTGTTTTCATTTTCGTGAAGCAATTTCTGCATCGTGTTTGAGAACAGAGACTTGTCAGCCAGACTCCTCGGGATCTCATTATAGCCTTTCACTTCTCTGTCTCTTCATTTTCTAAGCTATAAAATGGGGCCAGTAATACACCTGCTTCCCAGGGTTACTCTTTGTAAATTGCAGGACATAGTGCCTGCAGTAGGGTCCGTGCTTATGTAAGTGACTTGCAGTTATTGGTTGGTTTTTAAAAACTATATAGGCTTCTATGTCCTTTGCTTCCATACTGTATTGTTTATAGCGTCATCTGACATTGTCGGGATCTGATTGTAAATCTCTTTTCTCTGTGGCTTTGAGCTCTGCAAGTCCAGGAACCATAACTTACATTACATTTCTGGTGCCTTACATAGTGTTTGATCCTTTCATATTTGTGGTACCTGGGGCTGACTTGACTTCCAGTAATTAGAGGGATTTGTTCAGATTTGTTGATGTGGAGGCACTGCTCCTTTGTACCTTCTCAGCCGATGATTTAAGCAGCCTGATACTTGGACTCTAAGAGCATTCAGGGAGTGTCTTTCGTTGCTCTTCTATCACCCTCATGTGGGCTTTTGTTCCCTCTCCATTACCCTCCTGGCAGGACAGTATTCAGACTTATAAAGAAGATGGTCCTGTGTTGAATAAGAAAAGTTAGGAAGGCAAAGTTATGTGTGAAGAACACCAGTTCTGAAATAAAAGAGAGATGTCAAAAGCCAGAGCTTTTGTTTAATAATGTGTTTCAAAATATGAGAAAAGGAAAATATGGAAACAAAGTCTTTGCAAATAGAGAGGGGTGGAGGGGTTTAAGGGAAGGCAGGGGAATGGGGTAAAAATAAGAACCAAGATACATCATGTAAAAGTACAAGTTCCCAATGATGAATGTAACTGTACTGTATACTCAAATGTACCAGTAAGCTTCATAAAAAAGAAAAATAGTATGTTTCAGTCACTGAAGGAAGTCCTTGTGGTTCATTGTTCATAAAACTGCTGCTAGTGTGACTCTTTTGTTTTTCCCCTCAGGATTTGACAGGATCCGAACTGTATACCCAGATAGCCCGTCTTTTGCATCCTGTGGTTTATACTACTACTGTCATTCTCCTCTTGTGTCTCTTGGCCATCATTGTGAGTTACATTTACCATCACAGGTAAGAGATACCGGGCAACAAATGCAGACCTGTGGGTTTGGATTTGGAGGACTTCCTTTTACCTTTAATTATAATAAAACTAAGTTTGAAACCATGCTAGGCTTCCAGAGTAAGAATACGTACTGTGGAACACATATAAGCCCTCTTCATTGCATGCCATTAGAAACATGAATAATTAGTATAGCATCCAGCTGTTTTGCCGGGCTTGTGACTGGAGAGTAGCATGGGAGGTATGTGTTGGAGGTTGGAACAGTGGTGTGGACGGCAAGAAGGTGTGAAGGAAGGGTCTGTAAGCTCTGGTTGCTCCTATAAAGGTTTCTCTAGGTGGCAGCCTGTGTAACAACTTTTATTTTCTGTCTTTTTGTCTGTTGTGATACCCTTTATTTTATAAAGGGTATTTTTAAGAAAGTTTTGTGGTTGTTAAATGTGGGATATGGTTTTTGTTAATTGGAGGCAAAGCTACAGAAACTTTTATTTTATTTCTGGAAATAATGAACTAAAAGAATTTGCTAAGCAGAAATTCACTTTACGGAAGGTTTTGCCGGAACATATTTTCCTACTTAAGCTGGACATATATGGCATTTCTTGACATTTACTTGAGAAACAAAAGGAGATTTTGATATTTTTAAAAAGAGAGAGCGAGAGCGAGAAAGACTTCAACATTTCATTACAAAAGGCCAGGAAGAAATACTCTGGGCATTTAGACCACGCTATTCTAGTAAGTCAGGAAAAAGAACCATTGGCACATTGCAGAAATCTCTAGGTAGTCAATCAGATAATCTAGTTATTTTAAGGCAGCATCAGTAATAAAAGTAAGTATTTTTTATTATGGAGATTTTTAAAAATTATTTTAAAATTTATTAGTATACATTCCTAGTACATGATGATTACATTCCTTGTGGGAAGTTAGTACATGTATATAACACACCTTAATTCTTTCTTCATCCCCTTCCTACCCTCCGCAGCCCCCTGCCACCCTTTCCGTCTCTATGGAAAGAGATCAAGAGATTTTTTTCCTTAACTTGATATTCCTTTTTTTTCTTTTTATTAGTACATGCTTTCAATACATATTAAGTGCATCATAGGGTACAGGTCACATCTTGAGATTTGTTTAGTGTTTAGTAGACACAGTGATTGCATAAATGGCTTATCTTTTAATACATAAAGTGAAATGTTAAACTGTATTGAGTGACTTCTCAAATGCTGTGTGTGTCTAATAGTGTATGTTTAATAAAATGTTTAAATCGGAAACGTTTAGATTTCACCTTACTGTAGTTGTTTAACGTGTAGGTGAACATCACAGTGTCTTCTGTCCAGTACACCCGACTACATATTAATACTGTCTCATTTTTAAAACAGTTTGATTAGGATCAGTCTCAAGAGCTGGCACATGCTTGTGAACTTGTGCTTCCATATTTCCCTGACCTGTGTGGTCTTCGTGGGAGGAGTCACCCAGACCAGAAACGCCAGTGTCTGCCAGGCAGTAAGTCAGAGTGAACAACTGAAATGGAAAAATAATTGTATTTCAGCATAGCTTTGTGTCTCATTAAGTATAAAAGAGAAAATGTTTCTTTAAAGTCTTTTCTTTAAAGTTAAGCCAAATGCCTGTTCCTTAAACAGTTTAATACTTAAAGTTTTAAATTATCATTTCACAACTGAATACCTAACTTTATGGACTTGACTCTCCTTGGAAATTGGGCACTACTTGTCATGTCTATTACAGTGCCTAACAATTAATTCAAATATTTATAAATTTCTGACTTTAACTGAAAGAATAGTGACATTTTCTGACTGTGGGGTTTTAAAAATTACTTCATTGATGAAAAGAATAGGAATTATGTAAAAATAAACACGAGGCTCAATAAATGCAAAGAATTAAATATTCATGTTTTCATATAAATCCTTACATATATACCTTAATATATACCTTTTGTGAACAGTATTCTTGCAGTATAAACAAAAAATTGAAACACTCCAATATAAGAGTAAGAAGTATCCAAAATTTTATTTCCCTATTTGTGTATTTTTCATATGAAGAATTGCAAGAAGTATCACATAAAAACTCAGAGTTCTGACTGCATAGGGCCAGGGATGTAGCTCAGTGACACCACACCTGCCTGGCAAGTAAGAGGTACTGAGTTCAATCCCTGGTACCAAAAAAAGAGAGTTTTGACTGCCTGGATTTACATCTCAGGTCTTCCATTTACTGGTAGTATTTTTATGGACAGTTTAACCTTTTTGTTTTCATATTGTGGCAGAAAAACATTAGACCTACTCCCTTTACAAATGTTTCAGTGTATATACAATGTTGGCCAACAGATGTATAGAACTTTTTATTTTGTATGATGGTTTATCAACTTTATACCCATTGAACAGCAGCTTATTTTCTTCTCCCTCTAGACTCTGTCAGCACCCTTCTGCGAATTTGAGTACTTTGGGTACTTCATATAAGTGGAGTTATACAGCATTTGTCTGTCTGTGATTTATTTTTTTCACTTAGAAATCCTGAAGGTTTATGTGTATTGTAGAATATGACAATATTTCCTTTTAATGCCTGAATAGTATTCCATATTACTTTCCTTGTATACTTATTACAGATTATATTTATCCCTCGGGCTTTATGACCAATACTGCAGTGAACCTGGAATACAGAGATCTCTTCAAGATCCTCATTTTATTATTTAATCTTTCTATGTCTGAGTTTTCTTATTTATAAATTGAGAATAATTGAATTGTTGGATGGTCTGATTATTACGTTAAGAACTCTAAGGAATTTGCATATTAAAATTCAGCAAAGAATGAATATAAGTTTAATATATGGAAGTTTGCTGAAATGCAACTATGAGAAAGCACAACGGATGAAAAGAGACCATTTAGGTAATATCAAAGACTTATCAAGTACTTAGAGATAATATATTCAAGATTTACAGGAAAAAAGACCTGCATAAATGGAAAGAACTATTATACCCAAGGATAGGAAGACAGTATCACAAGACTGGCAGTTCCTTCTAAATTAATTTATAGATAAAGAGGTATTTTTTTTTTCATGAAACTTGATACTTAAATTTATCTGAAAGTGAAGGGTGAAAGAGAGCCAAGATACTTGTGAGAAGGAAGAGCAACGCTAGAATAGTGTCCTAGTGATCCAGGCTGCCAGCTGTGATAATTGAGTCCTGGGGTAGTAGCTGTGTCGAGATGGCTGAGCTGAGCAGCAGTGCTGTGGAGTCCAGACCGACCTGGGCAGGACTTGGGGTACAGCGGAGACAGCCAACCTAATCAGCTGTGCCCACCACCGTGACTGAGTGGATTGGGGAAACGCCATTTGGAAAGAGATTTAAAGGACCTCTACCCCATTTTATGTTGAAAACGGTACAAAAAGTCAACTCTGGTTGGATTAAAAACTTAAAAGTACAAACCAAAATCTTAAACTTTTTTTTAGAAAATGTTGTAGAACTTGAGTTAAGAAAAGATTTTTTAGAATAAAACAATAAAAGGCATTCACTAGAAAAGATACAAATTTGACTAAGATGAGAACTTTTATTTATTAAGTACCCTTAAAGTCATTTGAAAGGTAGGTTACAAATTGGAAGAAGCTATTTCCATTCATACAACTGGTGGAGCATTAGGATAAAAAATAAAGCAGAAATATAATCATGAGTGGGCCACAAGTGCCCAGCAGAAGTGGTAAGACAAAGGATAGGCATGTCTTGGGAGATTAAGCACATAGGGCCAGAATGCATGAAATGTTCAGCACCATTCGGAGGCCTTAAAGATGCAAATGTAACAATTAATTACCATTTTATGCTTTTTATAATGGCAGAAACTAAGCCTGGGAATGCCAAATAATGATGAAAATGTGGCTCCTCAGGCTCTTGGATATACTGTTGATGGGGACATTAGTGGATAGTGGATGTACGTTGTATACTCCGGGAGTCTGTAGTTTCCATAGTAAATCATTCACATAACCATGGACCCCAGAAGTTCCACTCCTGGGCCCAAGGAGTAACCTTGCCTGTGTGCCTGGGTTGGAATATTCATGTCATCAGTATATTCAGTAGATAAAACCTTGAAGCAACTCAAATGCCTATCACAGAATAAACTAATAAACACTGGTATGCTGGAATCAAAACGAGTATTATAACAGTGTAGAATAGCACCAGTGAGTGTTAGGAAAAATTCAAGTCTCAAAAATCATATTCACACAGTACCTTTTTTTTTAAATAAAAATGACTAAAATAGGCCATATACGTTTAACAAAAATAGATGAGTGCATTAACTCCTATAAAAAAGACCAAGAACGTAAGAGTATAGGACAACGGTTGCCTTGGACATGGAGGTGATATGGATAGATACAGGTTATTTACAAGATGATAACTTTTGTCTTGCTGGTAGATTCTTGGATGCTTATTGCATTATTAACAGCAGTCACGAATAAAGGCACACCATGCTTAACCCAGTCATCAGATGTGTGATGAACCCGAGCCTTATGATTAATCTAGCATTATATACCTGAAAATGTATGTGTTTTTCTAAGAATTATTGAGAGGATTAAATGATTCCGCAGTTTGAATAGTAGCAAGCATACAGTGACTTATCAGTGTAAGTTATCTAATACCATGCTACTAATATTTACTGGCACAATTATCTCTCAGTTATGTAGTATTTTTGTTTGTTCACAACCATTACTATATATTTGAAAAGCAAACTTTGGCTTGGAGCTTACAAGAAATCAGATAAGGTCTCACTTTTAATGCATGGACAAAAACATAGATTCTGTGCCGTTAGTTTTTCCTCTTCTTCACATGGGTGTTTCTCATTATACCTTGGGGTGTCTTTGTTACCACTTCAGAAATACCGTCCATCACCTCCCATTGTTACCTTTAGAACTCTGTACCTTCCTGTTTGTTCTCTCTGGGCAAGAATTATGTCAGTTCATTTCACCCAGATTTACGCAGGGACCAACACAGGACCTGATCCCTAGTAGGTGCTCAGAGTAAAAAGAAGGCCATGTTTGCACATAGTTCAAATCATTCAAACCAAAAGCTGTTGTGAGCATAGACTCTATTCGTACAATACACAGTACACATTGGTATTAATGGTCTCAATTTGGTCTAACAGTATTCATTGATTTCCTGAAGCAGACATATTAATTTATTTCATTAAGGAAATGAATAAAAGAGGCTATTGTAAAGATGGCTGCCTTTCATTGTGTTGAGTGCTGTTTTGTACCATTTATAAAGTGAAGAGGAGATGAGTTACATGGGCTTTTTAGGGCCTCTAGAACAAATGCCCGTTAGTTAAAGATTTACACAAGAAAAAGAAAAGGCATGTATTCAGATGTTCTACCTGTTAATTTTCTATTTTACAATGCCCTCCCCTTCTTTGAAAGATAGCATCACTTTTGACTCAAATGTTACTTTTTAAAACACTTAATTCAGTTAGTAGCCAGCTGAGCAGAGGTGGTGGAATGCAAAAAGTTCTGGTCGAGAATTCCAGATCCTAGGAGGTAGGCGCCAGTTCTTTCTACCTGAACAGCTTGTTCTGCTGCTCACTTACCGACTAGGGGCAGAAAGGTTTTCCTATAAAATAGTGGGTCAGGCTGGCTGAGTTAAATGATGCACACTGTTTCCTCAGTCAGTTCCAGTGCTTTCCGTGGGCTTTAACTGTTTTGCAAAAGGAGCTGGAGCAGAGCTAAGAGGCTGAGTGAGAGAAGAAAAGAGGCCATTGGTTGGTCCTTGATTTTCATAGCTGTGCAGTGAAGGGATTTGACTTTTGCTGTACCAACTCAGGGATTTATCTGTTAAATGTAGTACCCCCTGGTCTCCTCAGGTATTCTTTTATATCTGTCATCCAGAAAATTCTTTTAGCCTCAGTCTGTGGGTCAGTATGTAGCTCAAGGTTAATAATACTGACCAGTCGGCGAAGCTAAGAAAACAGAGTAAGTTCATATACAAAAGTATATTTTTGTACATCTCACAGTCATTCACTAGTGCAAGCTATAATTATTTTAGTTTTTGTATATTTAAATATGATTTGTCATAAAGGTCTTTTTGTTTTGTATAGCTCTGCTGTCTTGAGTTATTGATAATTTTAAAAATTTTAGGATATGAATTTATATTTATGGTTAGGAAGCATATCTAATGTGGGGTTCTATTTATACTATTACTATTTTGTAGCTTTGGAAATTATTGTCCAAGGCCAGGGATTTAGCTCAGTGGCTCCACAGCCTGCCTTGCAAGCGCAAGGACCTGAGTTCGAGTTCCGGTACCAAAAAAAAAATATATTGTCCAAAGGTAAAGTGGATTTCTTAAGTGATAATCCATTATATTTAATTAGTTCTTTATATAGCCTTTGTATTGGATTTCTGGTTTATCTGTGACGGTGAGATTGTATTGAATATATAGCCCTGGTGTTGGTTGGAAAATACCATAGGAAGCCCTCATTACTACGTCTTAATTTTTCCATTTTTCTGGTTCATATGAAATGTTTAGTGATTTGCTTATGTGCCTGTCTGAGCAGAGACCATTAGATTCCTAAAATCATTTAACAAGATTGCAAGTTAGGTCCATCCAACCAGGGCAACTTAGCAAGACCCTGTCTCTAAATAAAAAATAAAAAAGAACTGGAGATGTAGCTCAATGTAAAGCCCCTGGGTTTAAATCCCAGTATTGAAGAAGAAAAAAAGAGGGGGAATACTTTTCTTTGAAATTTAGAAATGCCATAGAAAACACTGCAAAGCCTAAAAACTGAGTTACTTTGCTTAGAAAACTCTCCATCTTGTGCCTTCTGTGTTGAAAGCATGTTTAACTTACTGTATTTTATAGTTCTTATTCTTTTCACCTTTGTGTCAAAGAAAACTCCAGCAAGAGTAGAATCCAAATCAGTGATTTGTCTTGAATTTATTGGTTTCTATGCACCAAATTCATTTATACTGCTTTTACTTGCAGTGTCTGGTGTGACTTGAATTGGCTCAAAGGGCTATTTTATGCTTTTTGTTCCACTTCTATCTATAAATTTTTCTTTCACAGTGCAGTCAGCAAACTAACAGAGACCAAGGAGCGACTTGTCTCCTTAGGCAGAAGACGACTTCCAGCTTCTCTAGTTTGGGCGACCCGGAGCCCCCTCCCGACACTCCAGTCATGGCACTATTTACCCTGGACAGTGGCTCCCATGTTGTTTGCTCTGCAAATAAGGCTTTGGTATCACCAAGGATTGCATGTAGAGGGATTTTTGTTAAACCCCAGACAGTGGTATACATGCTTTTGTTTTTTACTTAGGTCTGATAATGTCAGCTGATTTGATTTTCTTGAGATTGGAGAACCATCTCTTTAAAATGAGAACTTTTTTCCTGGAGATTTTCATTACTAGAATCTTACAATATTTATGTAAGAAAAAAAGTGACCCAAAGCAACAGTAAGTTATTAGTTAAGAAAGCTGGATTATGTTCTTGATGATCTGTGAAACATGGCACTTAATTATCTTTAAAGAAAATTTTTTTTTCTTTGAGACAAGGTCTCACTGTGTAGTTCTGACTGTCCTTGAACTCACCGTGTACCCCAAGCTGGCCTCAAACTCACAGTGATCCTCTTGCCTCAGCCTCCTGAGTGCTGGGATCACAGGCGTGTGCCACCATGCCTAGTGACTTAAATTTTTTTTTATAGCTTAATCCCCTCTCATACCTTCAGCTGGAATTTGGTCCTCAGGTAGCATTGCTTTAAACACGGGTCATTAAATAAGCGTGCCTCTTGTCATCACTTGGAAAAAGCTCCATGAGTATCATCATTTACATGTATTGCACATATCCTCTGTTTGTTGAGCATCTAGCATAGCCCAGATTCTGTTACTATTCGATCCCTAGAACTGTCTATTGAGACCAATCCCACTACCATATTGAGGAAACTTAATTTTAGAGAGGTCCCATTATTTTCTCAACATGACACTTTCCCAAATGAGGAGGTTAGTGCTTAAGATATGGTATGACTTCATGTAGATCATACAGCAGGTAGGAGGTGTATATACAGTTTTTAAATCTGGCAAAATTTTATTCCTGGGTTTACTGCCTTAATCAACGTCATATTATGTTGCTTTCTTACCAGGATAGGAGAAGCTTGTGTCAGAATTCAAGTCTCTTTCTCTAAGACATACTCTCTGTGTGCTTTGGCTTTCAGCTTCCAGTTAACCCTTTTCCTCTATTTTTTTCTTAAAATGAGTCCTGGAAACTGAACCCTGTTTGTGACATTCCATATGTGGAAAGCAGGACTTTGGGTGCCTGTGATGTGTTATATTGCGGGTCATCTTGAGTGGGTCTGTAGTCTTCGGCCCTCCTGGCTCTAGCTTTTGGTTTGAACGTTGGAGGGATGTAATATTTAAGAGTGCTTTATTAGCAGGCAAAAACAATGATCATTAAAATGACCTTTTTAATGATCTTTAGTCAGACTTGTTAAAACATTTCATTTGATTTATATATATTCCTCAATGTTCCCTGTAGGTTGGAATAATTCTTCATTATTCCACCCTTGCCACTGTACTATGGGTGGGAGTGACTGCTCGAAATATCTATAAACAAGTCACCAAAAAAGCTAAAAGATGCCAGGATCCTGATGAACCTCCCCCTCCACCAAGACCAATGCTCAGGTATCTAATGTCTTTGTTGTGTTAAGTGTTAATTAACTGTTTGCTGTAGTTGAAGCAGAGTTGTAAATTATAAGAAAAATTGACAAGTCTATTTTGAGAAGTAAAAGGATGGACCTGTAAGCTGTGCTGCCTGGTTTTGACTGTGGGTTACCCAGCCTTCCTGCTGTACTTCTTCTGCACCCTCGCTGTGCCCCTGAGCTCCTCTCCAGAAAGGGGATAACTCCACTTGCAGAGCTTTAGGGAGGAATGAATGTGTTAATGCGCGAAACCCTTAAGATGTTACTGGCTTTGTAGCAGGCACTCTGAAAAGTTAACCTTTTAGTTCTTTAAGGTCATATGTCACCTTCTCAATTTCCTCAATGGAGAATCCACTTAATTATTCTCTACACAAGATAAAGTGGATTTGTAGTCATGGCCTTCCCACCCACTATAATAAGAGAAAAATTAAGCAGATTAAGTATCGTGATAGAGGTGTAAAAAAATTTATCAGTCGTGGCAGAGTTCGTCAAATGCCTGGCCTGTATCTGGCCCTGGGCTAGGGACTGCAAGTGCCCGCCCTCCCCTTGAGTTTGAGGTGCGGGAGGAGAACTAAGGCAAGTTCTTTGGAAGCACAAAGAAAGCAGCCGTGAGTTTGGGCAGCCTCTAGGAAATGCTGGAGCACTGTCATGATGAAGGCAAAGGGTGGAAGGGCCCTAACGGGGAGTCAGCTGAGGAACGTGGGAAGTGCAGCCTGGCTGGATCCTAGGGTGCCGAGGACGGAGGAGCAGGAACTCAGGGTGAAAGCTGGGGCTGGGCCTGCCGCGGGGTCATGTTAGAAAGATAAAATGGCATTGGTGTGGACTGCAAATCGGAACGGTGCCCTAGAACAGTGATGGCACATCTTTTAGGGCTTTCACAGTGATAACAGCCCACTGTGACGCGCAGCATAGGTTCACCACCATTCCCTAGACATAAGGAATTCCCTCTGGGTCATTAGGGTTCTCCCTACGAGAACTGCAGCCAGAACAGTGTCATAGACAACAGAGGAGGATCCGTGTTTGGAGACATGAGTTACTTTCTCTAGGACTGATGACCATTCGGATTTAAGAGGAAATTGGAGATGGCTACAGATGGCCCTCTCAATTCACCTAGGTTCCTTGATGATGGTGTTCCTATCAATGTGGAAAACACCACAGGAAAAATAGGCTGGGGGGTATGGAGGTAGCCCGGGGAAGGTACCCAATATGCCTGGTGCCCTTTCGCCCAGGGTCTTGGAGCTTACCAGTGCCTTTTTTATTAATGTACATTTTTGGAAGTCCAGTCACGAGCAGCATGACATAGTGTAGACAAAGCAGGCGACATTTCCATGTGCTGTAATTGAAACCCTGATAATGAAGGAGATCTCCCGGGGAGAAGTTAGTTAAGAAAAGTATGAACCCTGGACCTCATCTCTGTTTAGTAGATAGGCTGTAGGAAACAGTCACTGGGGGAAGCGGCAGAAAACACCTGCTAAGGTGGATGATTCCAGGGGAGAGTGGTTAGGTGGAGGATGAGGGGCAGCAGGAGTGATCAGCCGCTACAGTCACCCTGTAGGATGATATGGGGCACCTGTGCCACTTATGTTAAAGACTGGGGGAGGGTTGACTAGGAGGCCTGAGAATCCCACATTTAGCAGCTACTTATCATTGCTAGGTTCTGAGAAGAGAAGAAACAGAAAGAGTTCAGGTACAGCAGTTCCAAACCCTGCGCATCCCCTGAATGTCCCACATTCGCACATGCCCCCTTTGCTTTAGTCCAGCTCCTCCCACTAGGGCTGGTACCCTCCTTTCCTGGGGTAGCCCGAGTACATAAGGATTTACAAGGTGCTCCTGCCGTGGCAGCCTGTGGAGGAATTCAGAAATGCGGTCTGAATTGCCAGAAGGTCCAGGCAAAGGTCCAAGTCTGCAGAGTCCCATGATGGTCTGTTAGGGAGAATCAAGGGTTTTGCAAGCCTGGAGACAGTTGTCAAAGGCAATAGCAGAGACTGAGCTCCTCCAGAGAAGCGGGAGACTCCCTTCTTCTTTCCATTTTTATTCCATAAAGGGTACAAGTCATCCAGAAATGTGCTCAACCAATCCGCTAGGTGTCCCTTGTTGGGGGTGACGCTCTAGTTAACTGCGACACTAAGCAACAGTGCCATGGGGAAGGTGGGCGAGGGCCGCCCTTGAGTAGCCTTAGCATCACGGTGTGGGGTGGAAGAGCCCACGAGAAGGTATTGAAGCAAGGCAGGTGATGGCACCTGTTTCTGGGAGTTTGAAACTGAAGAGAGCGAAAGGAGGAGATAGTTCAAGAAAAGTCCTAGAAGGTGAGGAAAACTTGAAATGAGTTGGAACTAAAAGGGGGGCGGGGTAGCGTGGGACATTTTGAAGTAATAAAGTGAGAATTCATTGGTGACAGGAAGGTTCTGAGCAGAAAAAGAACCCCAAAGAAAAGGACAGAAGCCTAGATACATTTTGGAAGGGATGCTTTCTTTCCAGGGAAAAGGCAGATAGGAGTTAGTAAGAGGCAGGAAGAAGAGGAAGGTTGCCCATCTAGGTTTCTCTGCAGTCTGACATAAAAGACATGGTTCTGGTTTTACAGTTCAGAATCGCTAGCATCATCTTTAAGGATTTTGATGAGGATAGGATGCAGAAGCAATCCTGTATGGAATAATGTGTCATGAATATTGCCTTTATCCGGCCCATTCAGGATTGAGGGCTGTTTCTCAGAGAGGGTAAATACAGAATTAGGATTTTAACTGTACACAGGCATAACCAGCCAGGACGGAAAGTTCTTCTCAGGGAGCACAAAGGTCACCAGGTTATTTCAGTTGAGAAACTGTACTCAAAAAAAAATTTTTTTTTTGAGACAGGGTCTCACTATGTAGTCGAGACTGACCTGGAACTCACTATGTAGCCCAGCTGGTCTTGAACTCACAGTGATCCTCCTGCCTCAGCCTCCCGAGTGCTGGGATTACAGGTGTGCGCCACCACGCCCGGCTACACCTGCAGTTCTTGATGCACCTCTGTGTCTTTGGCTGTCCCAGTTTATCCACAGGAAAGGATTCCGAAGCTTTTGAAATCCAAATACCCTCTGTTTAGTCTGTTGGTGGAGGGATGCAGTACACATGGATAGAGGACCTGGAACACAAGGCTTAGCTAAACATTAATAGTGTTCATACACTGTCACATTCTTAGTATGAATCCTAGCACAGTGAAATTTTAGTGTCTGTCTCATAACGGACCAAATTTCCCATTCACCAGCTGAATTTGAAAGAAACCTCCAAAACCAAAATGAAGGTAAAATTCTGCATGCAGTAGGTGAGTGTTCCTTTCCTTGTCCACAAGGTGGCAGCAACTGACCAGCTTTCCTCAGCTCAGACCCTTCCAAGGTCTTATAGTTTAAAAAAAAAAGTAATCTAAAAACCCAAGCAAAACAGAAACTCATTTTTGCTTAAAAAAGTAATCTTCAGGGAATGAATTTTGATGTACTGAGATGCTGCAGTTCATATACCTGAAAAAATGCAGAATAAAGAACAGCTGCTGCCATTTTCCTCCTCCTCCTAGGTTCTACTTGATTGGTGGTGGGATCCCCATCATAGTTTGTGGCATAACAGCTGCGGCAAACATCAAGAATTACGGCAGTCGGCCAAGCGCACCCTAGTGAGTAGTTTGTGTTCTTTGTACTTGACCCAGTTGCTGCTCTTTAAGTATTTTTGTAGGCACTGTCTTTTATTGAAATTCCTCAGTTTGTTGAAATACACAGCATCTGATCTGGTTCACCACATTCTTTTCTAGTTGCTGGATGGCTTGGGAACCCTCTTTGGGCGCCTTCTATGGACCTGCCAGCTTCATTACTTTTGTAAACTGTATGTACTTTCTAAGCATATTTATTCAGTTAAAAAGACACCCTGAGCGCAAATATGAGCTTAAGGAGCCCACGGAAGAGCAACAGAGATTGGCAGCCAATGAAAATGGTGAAGTAAATCATCAGGATTCAATGTCTTTGTCCCTGATTTCTACATCAGCACTGGAGAACGAGCACACTTTTCATTCTCAGCTCTTGGGGGCCAGTCTTACCTTGCTCTTATACATCGCTTTGTGGATGTTTGGGGCCTTGGCCATTTCTTTGTATTACCCTTTGGACTTGGTTTTTAGCTTCTTTTTTGGAGCCACGTGTTTAACCTTCAGTGCGTTCATCATGATTCACCATTGTGTTAATAGGGAGGACGTCAGACTTGCGTGGATCGTGACCTGCTGCCCAGGATGGAGTTCATACTCAGTGCAAGTCAACGTCCAGCCCCCCAACTCAAGTGGGACAAATGGGGATGCACCTAAGTGCACCAATAGCAGTGCAGAGTCTTCATGTACAAACAAGAGCGCATCGAGCTTCAAAAATTCCTCCCAGGGTTGTAAGCTAACAAACTTGCAGGCTGCAGCAGCCCAGTGCCATACCAATTCTTTACCTTTGAACTCCAATCCTCAGCTTGATAACAGTCTCACAGAACATTCGATGGACAATGATATCAAAATGCATGTGGCGCCTTTAGATGTGCAGTTTCGACCAAATGTGCACTCAAGCCGCCACCATAAAAACCGGAGTAAAGGGCACCGGGCAAGCCGACTCACAGTCCTCCGCGAATATGCCTACGATGTTCCCACGAGTGTGGAAGGAAGCGTGCAGAATGGCTTACCCAAGAGTCGGCCAGGCAGTAACGAAGGACATTCTCGGAGTCGGAGGGCTTACTTAGCCTACAGAGAGAGACAGTACAACCCACCCCAGCAAGACAGTAGTGATGCTTGTAGCACACTGCCTAAAAGTAGCCGCAATTTCGAAAAGCCTCTTTCAACTAGTAGTAAAAAAGATGCATTAAGGAAGCCAACTGTAGTTGAACTTGAAAGTCAGCAGAAATCTTATGGCCTCAACTTGGCCATTCACAATGGACCAATTAAAAGCAGTGGACAGGAAGGACCTCTGCTCAGTACAGACAGCACTGGCAATGTTAGAACTGGATTATGGAAACACGAAACTACTGTGTAGCTCTGCTGGTCTTCCTTGGCGGAAACTGACATGAACTGTGATGTTCACATTCCTTTAAGCTATGAACTTCTGAAAACAGTTTACAGCCACCTTAGGGATTCAGAACAGTTTTGAATAAACTTCTAAGCTTTGGATTTTACTTATTTTATATTCCCAAATTGTTGCTTTTTTGTTTTTCATTAAAATAGGTCCATTAAAACATAAGTTTACTTGTCAAAGCACCAACAGGACACTTTGGGAATCTGAAATGTAATTTCTTAGAATGTGTAATACCTACTTAACATTTCAGGCTTGTATTTAATAAAATGAATAGGTGTTTGTCACTTTGTATTCCTTATGTTTTACGGGCCAAGCATTTAGCTCTGTTTTAATGAAACTTATACAGTGGGATATTTTAAGGAAAATTATATGTAAACCAGTTTCAGCTCTATTAACTTTGTTAACTATTGACTGGCATTTAAATCAAAGTGAATTTTTGAATGTTTTACAAATGTAGCTTTAAATGCTTCGGGTTTTAAAAAAGATCTCACAGAATGGCTTTTATAAATGGAAATGCCTAACAATTTCCTAAGTTGCATAATTTTACCACATCACTTCAATCTTTATACTATTGTCAACACTTTTGTAGCTTTTCCATGGCTTATATTTGAATTTAGTTTCATACTCTTTATTTCTAGTGTGTGTGCAGTCCTGCATGCATGTGTGCTACCCTCGAATGTAAATGAAGAACTACCACATAAGGTTCACTTTGAGTCATTCTGAGTTCTTCACCAGTGGCCTTCACGTTGGCTTCTGTTCGTACTGAAACAGGTGAAGTTCCTTAGGTCCGTGCTAAATTAATGACCTTTAAATTCCAAGCCAACAGTTTACATTAGGTGTGGGCAGTGCACTGCCGCTCTCCTTCCCTGTTCTTGTCCTAAATCTCACTGTGTTTCCCAGTTCTCTGTCATCTGCAAGACCATGCATGAAAAGTTCACAGCTTACATCTGTTTTCAGTGGAAGGCTAAAAGTTTAAATCAAATCAGACAAAAGTACACATTCAAGAGGTGCTAAAAGAGGCAAATAGTGTAGCCTACTGAAATTGGGAGAGAATAACCACCTGCCTTCAGAGAGCCATTCTTGAGACACTGAAGGACCACCCATTGTCATATAAATGTTCGCTTCCAATTAGGGCCCTGCTTTAGAACTGTGTTGCTTTGCTTCTCCCTGAGAAAACTGGTATTTCTATTGAAGACTGTTTGTAGGACAGCCTTGAGACGGTGAGTGGGGCAAATAAGATGGCCAGGGAAGAGATTCACCATCTGCACAGTTAATATACTTCCTAGCTCAGGCTGCTGTGGGAATTTGCTCTACTCTGTGCAGATGGTGTTTGGAAATGACAGAGATAAGCTAATGAGAAGGGCAGTGTGTGATCCTTCCTTCCTCACTGCTGTTCTTACTTTACTCTGCTGTGTGGTTCATTACGTTAGGGTTTGACCTGTTTGCCTCCCCTGTTGGTCAGTTCTACACATGGAGAAAAATTTGTTGCTTTCTTTTTCTCACCTTTCTATAGAAATTGAAATTTTTCTTTTCTTGGAAATGTTCTTCTTTGAATAAGCGTTTATTAATTTAACTATGACTTCTTTTAAATAACAGAAAAAGTAGGAACCAGGGATCAGAAAGGATCAGAAAAGAAATCAAACCATACAAGGAAATGAAGATTCCAGTGAAAATGTCCAGTGGGATTTTGCCACAGCCTCGGTGATGAGGATGACTCTGCACATCTTTCCTGTTTGGTTGAATTAAAGTTTGATGTTTTGTGTTTGGAATGTGAGTAACCCCTATGTGTTTCTCCCACCTTTGTCATTCATGACTTAGGGCTTGTTACCAGCTAGGTTTCTGTATGTTCCATGGAATTTGTAAAAGTAACAAATATTTCTGTTTTCTTAGAGATCAGTGCATTCATTTTCCGTGATTAAAAAAAAAAAAATGACAGCCAAGTCCCAAATACTTTAGAGTTGTTAGACATGCTAGCAAATCACACCATATCCAGGACCAGGACTGTTTCCTGATACGGAGGTCACTGGGCTTGATACCTCATTTTGTTGTTGCTGTGGTACTTCTTATCTATCATTTAATCACATTTAGTTCTTATCCAGATTTTCTGTTCTAGTTTCATAATGAGGTATAACTGGCTATATTCTACTTAGGGAACCAACCACACATGACTTGGTTTTTTATATTCCATAGAAGTTATTTTTAGATCATGCCATGTAATGTGAATGACTAAATGTGCGTGCCATATACTCTTATGTAACTTGATTTTATACTAAACTCTTCAGATAACAAATAGAAATTTGTTGCAAGGGGGCAAATTGGTTGGTGTATGCATATTTTTATGAACAGATTTATATATACTAATATAAATGCCTATTAGTATTTTGGGTCATTTATGGGTAGTGATTTCTAAATCTCGGGGCACTTTTTTTGGGGGGGCACTGAGGATCGAACTCAGGACCTTGTGCTGGAAAAACAGGTGGCAGAACCACTGAGCTGAATCCCTGGCCTGAGGGTATTTTGGATATAGATGTGATAATATAGTTACATCTATTTCAGTACATGTATATAAATAATAATGCAGATGCCAATTTGCTCATAGATGCTGGTGAGGCTAATAAGAGAAAAAAACTATTACAATAGACCTCTGTGCTTCAGGGGTTGATTTAGATTGCCCAAACTTAATTTGCATAAGAAAATAAAGAGTAAAGAAATAAATTAACTGAAAGCATCTAATGCAGGAATTAAGCTAAATAAATCAATGAAAACGGTACATACAACAATGTAAAATGTAAAACGTCAATTTTGTTTTTCTTTTTAAGGCTCATTTAATTTAATATAGTCATCCCTCTGTACCTACATCCATGAATTCCACTATGGATCATAAATATTTTTTATAATTGTGTATGTGCTGAACATGTAAAGAGTTTTTCCCCTTGGCCTTCCCTAAACAATACAGTATTAAAACTACTTGTGTAGTTTTATATATTGAACTAGGTATTATAAGTAATCTACAGATGATTTAAAATGTGGAAGATGTGTAGGTTAAATGCAAATGTCTTGTATTTTATGTAAGTGACTTGAACCATCTATGGATTTTTGTATTCATAAGGAATCCTGGGACGAGGTCCCCCTAGATACCAGTGGATCACTTTAGTTTCTCCAGTATTCTGATCTGTGAGATAATTGAATTTTTTGTAATTACTTCTGGTATTTCCTAAATTTGAATCAGTCCATTGCTTTTGCTAACTTTGTCATATTGTTCTTAACACTTATGTTAATGTCATATGGATCAGCTCATTTTGTTTTTACTAAAATACAGGCAATAATAAACTCAGATTTATTTGTATAAGCAAAGCATATTTCTTAAGGAAAAATTTGTGATTGTTTATAATCTGTCAATACTGAAAACCTGAGTACATATTGCTTGGTCTTAGACAAAGATTATAAACAAAAGCAAAATGCTGTTTTTTAAACTATTGATGTTAACTTGAATCTTCTAAATTACTTAGGGCCTCCAGTTTATAGCCATGTCATTTATTGGCCAGTGGATACAGGGACATTAATTGATGAACACATTCTTAGTCTCTGTCATGGATATTAAGTTAGTCTTTGTAGGCTGATTAGTCCTGGTCTGTCTACTCTTCTTTCTCTACTTAGCTTCCTATGCAGTAGAGGTCCCGGCAGCCTTTGCTCAAAGATTTTCTTTTGAATTTTTTCACTAGGCATACAAGAGGCTCAAAGGTAGATTCTGAACGTGAATTTAGAGGACAGTAATAATTGTGATGGTCGCTTATGCAAGAAAAGACTGAGCACTGTCTTCTCTTGCAGAATTGTGTTTAATTTCCTCACTAAAATTGCATTAGGCTTTAGTTCAAAAAACTTTTGCTTCATGCTGTTTGAAGCACATACTGACCTTCTAATTGTGTCCTGTGTATAAAATGGTAGAAGAAAACAAAATGTATTTGTCTTAATTCATTATTTACCACTTCTGTCTGGTTTGATCCAGTATCTACTGTTGCTGTCTGGCTTGAGAAGGTGCTGAAGACCTTTATCAGAATATTCCAGGTATCCTCAAAAAGTTTAAAGTACTTCCAAAGGACTCCAGATGCACACCTAGCCAGGTTTTTCCAACAACAAAATCCAGCTGATCTTCAGTTTTCCAGTAATTTTTTTCATTTTGTCTTGGTATATAGTACCAATGAAGGTTTGCTTCTATAGATAAATATTTATTGTTCAAATAAGGAAATAAGCAAGGTATGATTGCTTGCAAAGCTGATAGTCATGAGTATTAAGCCAGGTTGAAAATTATGTCCAGCTACACATTCTATTTAAAAAGAAAAAAAACTGAAATCCAGTACTAAACAGAATGTTTTGTATCAGTGTCCATTCCTTTATAATAAAACTGATTTAAAGCATTACTTTAAAAGTCAACTTTATTGACAATTTTTATTGGCCTTTCATGAAAAGTTTTATTTTCTTTTTAACTTTAATGTTCAATTTGGGTAAACTGCTGTTTAAAAGATCAGCACATCTCAAGGTTTAAAATGATAAAGGTTTCTCACTGAAGGAATAGCCTGGCATATATGTTATTAACCTGGCAGCTCACCTCATCCAGGCTTCTTCTGTGTCTCTGCTCACCCACCTTGTGATCTTTCTGCAGAGAAGGGAGTGTAGTCAGCATATGGGAGGATCTTATGGTTCACACCTGGAGATCACATGGCATTTCTGTGTACAGACCAATACCATTGTGGTCCCTTTTTTTGTTTTTGTTAAAGGTAGACAGTTGGGTGAATAAGTTGCCATAGGGATGGATTCCTGGCATCTACAATTGAGTTTTATTCCCACCTAGTCTTGTATGACACTAAAAATCTTAAGCATTGATCCATTGTGAGTGCCAAGCAGAAATATTAATGTTCGAGCCAGTTGGAAATTATATGACGGTCAATATGTTGGCCACCTTGGGCTACTGTGGCAAAGTGGCACTGATTGGGAAAGATCATTTTTCTCCATTCTGGAGGCTGAAAGTCAGAGATCAGCGTGTTAGCATGATTGGACTGTGATGAGGGCTCTTCCTGGCTTGTAGATCCTGCCCTCTTGCTTATCCACCTCTCAGGTCTCTTTGCCAGGGTGCTAATCCCATGCATGAGAGCTCTTTTCTCTCAACATAGGGAGGATGACCTAATATTTAGCCCCACCTCCAAATATCACATTCATCACTACAGTCTCGATACAGCAGTTTTGGAGGAGCCTCAAAACTGTCTGGCATTCTGCCCATTTCCTTCCCCTAAATTTCATGTTCTGTTTAATCCTAGTAGCCCCAAAAGTCT